AACTAGTAGCAAACAGTATTCCACAGCACACTGAAAGGATTATAATTCATGGCCACATGAAATTTATCCCTGGGATACAAGGATAGTTCAACATGTACAAACTGATAAAACAGAATAAAGGGGAAAAAATCATATGATTATCTCAACTGATACAAAAAAAGTATCTGATCAGGCGGTGCCTGTGGCTCAGTGAGTAGGGCACCAGCCCCATATACCAAGCAGGGTAGGTTTGAATCTGGCCCAGGCCAAACTGCAACAAAAAAATAGCCGGGCGTTGTGGCGTGCGCCTGTAGTCCCAGCTATTCGGGAAGCTGAGGCAAGAGAATCACCTAAGCCCAAGAGTTGGAGGTTGTTGTGAGCTGTGTGATGCCACGGCACTCTACTGAGGATGATAAAGTGAGACTCTGTCTCTAAAAAAGAAAAAGTGTTTGATCAAATGTCACACCATCTCACGATAAAAACTGTCAACTAGGAACAGAAGAAAACTCCCCCAACATAATAGAGACTATACAAAAGCCCACTGTAAACATCATTCTGAATAGTGAAAGAGTGAAAGCTTTTATTGTAAGATCAGGAAAAAGAAAAGGACACTCACTCTTCCATTTCTATGCAACATACTACCAGAAATCCCAGGCAAGAAAGAGAAATAAAAGGCATCCAGATGGTAAAGGAAGGAGCAAAATATCTTTGTTTGCATGATCACGTAGGTAGAAAACCCTACAGAGTTCACACACAAAAAACTGAACTAATAAATTCAGTGATACAGGGTACATAATTCACACAAAAATCAAGGACATTTCTATAACAATAATCTAAAGGGGAAATTAAGAAAATTCCCCAACAGTAACAAGAGGACTGAAATACCAAACTTAACCAAAGAGGTGAAAGACCTATACTCTGAAAACTATAAAACAGTGCTAAAAGAAATTAAAACAACACACACACACACACACACACAAAAACAAACAGAAAGCCACCTCATGTTTATGAACTGAAAGACTTAATATTGTTAAGATGTCCATGCTCCCCAAGGCAGTCTATAGATTCAGTGCAACTCCTATCAAAATCGAGTAGCACTTTTTGCAGAAATAGAAAAATCCATCCTGAAATTTATGTGGTATCTTAAAAAGGAACGAAGCTGGACGTCTCATGTCTTTTTTTCAAAACTTACTACAGAGTTGTACAAAACAAAACAGGTGGCTTTGGGCACAAGGACAGACCAATAGGACAGAATAGAGAGCCCAGAATAACCCCTTGCACATGCAATCAATTGATTTTCAACAAGGGTGCCAACAACATTCACTGGGGAAAGGATACTCTCTTCAAGAAAAGTGGCACCAGATAATGGGACATCCATGTGCCCAAGAAGGGAACTGAGCCCTGACCTTAACCTAACCACATGACCTTAACTTAACCAAATTAACTTAAAATGAATCAGAGACCAAAACAAAGAGCTGGAAGTACAAAACATTTAGAAGAAAACATAAGGGAAAATCTTCACAACACTGGATCTGGCCGTGATTGTACGTGACAGCAAAAGCACAGGCAACAAAGAAAAAGAAAAACCTCTGTGCATCAAAGGGCACAAAAAGCAGAGTGAAAGGCAACCCACAGAAAGGAAGAAAATAATTTACAAATGGTTTACTTAATAAGGATTAATACCCAGAGCATATAAATCTATAACTCAAAAACAAAAAGCATACAACCTGACCAAAACATGGGCAAAGGGCCTAAATAAACATTTCTCTGAAGAAGTCCTACAGATGTCCAACAAGCAGGTAAAAAGATGCTCTGCATCACCAGACACTAGGGAAACACAAATCAATACCACAGGGAGACACCACTCACCCCCATGAGGATGGCTATTATGGAGAAGAACCCAGAGGACCCCATGTACGGCTCCTGAGAACATAAGATGGTGCAGCCTCAGCAGAAGTAGTGTGATGGTTCCTCAAAAATCAAAAACATCATATGATCTAGCAATTCTACTTCTGGGTATATACCCCAAAGAATAGAAAGTGGTCTTTAAGAGAAATTTGTACACCATGTTCACAGTAGCATTATTCGCAATAGCCCAGAGTTTGGAAGCAACCCAGGTGTCCATCCACAAATGAATGGATAAGCAAAATGTGGTACATACATACATACATAATGGAATATTACTCAGTCTGAACAATTCTGACACATGCTATAACATGTAAGAACTCTGAGAACATGCTCAGTGAAGTCAGTCACACATAAAAGGAATCTCCTCTGGTTCCACTCATATGAGGGTCCCTGCAGGAGTCAAATTTATAGAGACAAAAAGTAGGATGGGCTGAGGAAGGGGAACAGGGACTTGGCATTAATGGGAACAGTTTCAGTTTTAAAAGACAAAAAGGGTTCTGTGGGTAGATGGTAGAGATGGCTCTATGACAATAAAGGTGACACTAAGCTACACACTTGAAAATGGTTAGGATAGGCCAGGTGCAGTGGCTCACTCCTGTAATCCTAACACTCTAGGAGATCAAGACTGGTGGGAATGCTTGAGCTCAGAAGTTCAAGACCAGCCTGAACAAGAGAGAGACCTCAATTCTACTAAAAATGGAAAAATTAGCCGGGCAGGTGGCAGATGCCTGTAGTCCCAGCTACTTGGGGAGCTGAGGCAGGAGGATCACTTGAGCCCAAGAGTTTGAAACTGCTGTGAACTACGATGACACTATGGTACTCTACCCAGAGCAGCAGTGAGACTCTGTCTCAAGGAAAAAAAAGGGGTTAGGATGATAAATTTTAAGTTATATATATTTTACCATAATATTAAAATTCTTAAATGAATTTAGAACTGTCTACATAGTTAGCTAACAGAAAAACTACATACCTTCATCTGTGCGAGTTTCTCAAATGACCATCAAATAAAAATGAACTTCCATGCAAAAAACCAAGCAGTTATGGTGTCTCTCTTCTGTGCCATATTTAAATGGGGAACAAGAACATTTCCTTGGGGACCTACCATCCTCAGGTAAACCTGTCTGACCTGGTTATACAGTCAGGTGTGATGTCCATGGCACAAGAATGAGCCAAACTGACCACGTCTCTGCTCTTCACCACTCTTCAAAGGGAGAGGACAGAAAGGCAAGTGGAGAGTCCTCAGCCTTTGCCTGGCATGTGACCCACATGGCTATATCAAGGATGGTGCTCTGGGGAGTGACTTCACAGTGGGACCCTTTTATCAAATGGAGACTGAGGTGGTGGCTGCAAGGGTCTGTGGGTACAGACCCAGTGCCACCCCTGGAACTGCAGTTTTCTGTCGTAGGCTGCCACTTCCCTTCTAGAACCCTGAGAGGCAGGACCACGTCTGTGAGCAGCCACTACTGGTTCTATGGGAAACACTGCCCTCTGAACTTGAGGGTCTGCTTCTTCCAAGCAGACACAGGCAGAGATAAGGAGTGAGGCCTGAGCGAAGGCAGAAGGTGGACACAGATGCAGGAAGTTGAGACCAGAGGAGAAGCTGGAGCTGGCTGCCGTGCTTAGCAGATCTGCTATGTACTGGACTACGGCAGGACTACACAGGTCCTCATACTGGTTTCACATTGTGGCAAATCTTCTGGCTCTTTCACTGGGTGGCACCAAAAGGAGGTGGATGGAGCCTGGCAGGTGTGAACTCATGCAGTGATAAGAGAGAAGGCTGCAGTCATATTTCCTCACTCCTGATAATTTCGGGGATGCAGAACAGATTGGTCCATAGTCCATTCATCTACTAGGTTAGTCCTCCACAATGAAAAAAAAAAAAGCTTTTAGCTAGTAAAAAATAGCTATATGCTATTAGAGATAACAAGCAATTTACAAAAGCAAAAATGCGACCATCTCCTCAGTGACTTCAAATCTTAAGGGGAGGGGGTTCTATCAAACAAGAAACTCACATGAACTTCTCCCCCTAAAAAGATGAGGGAACACTTCCCAAGCTCATCCTGTGAGGCAGTTTTTACACAGACACTAAAACCACACAGAGATAACACAAGGGGAGTTCCCAGAAGCACCTCCTGTGGACAGAGAGAGCAAAATGAACCCAAACCAAACCTAACAACTCTGTGTGAAAATATCAGATGCCATGAGTGAGTGGGGAAGGCAAGGTTTGCTCAACATACAAACATCGTTCCAAGCAATGACCCCACATCCCAGAACCCGCCACCCTCATGATCAAAACACCTGGCAACAGAAGGGAACGTCCTCAGCCCAATGAGGCACCTCTATGGAAACACCCTTAGCTGATATCAGCATGCGGTAGGAGACTGAAGGGCTTTCCTAAGACCAGGAGCAAGACAAGGACGGCCACTCCTGCTCCTGCTACTCAACAGCATGCCCGGGGGTCCAGCCAGGAAAGGGGCAGGAGAGAGAGGAAATGGACATCAGATCAAAAGGAAGAAGTGAAACTATTTGCAGAAGACACAATTTTGTTTATAGCAAATCATGGACAATCTACAAAATACTTTGAGGGCTAACAACTATTTCAGCAACGGTCCAGGATCCAAAAATCTTATTAGAGTTTGATTATAAAAGTAGCATTTAAGACAAAAACTATACACAGATCCTTAAAATTTTTCCATAGAGCAGACACAGCTTCCTAGGTAGGGCCCCATGCAGCAGATGTGCACGGCACACATGCAGCGACAGCCCTCAGGGGTGAACTAAAGAGCCGCCTATGACCCGACGTTGAGACACAGCTGTTAGTCTTTCTGACTTTTCTGGTTCATAGATTAGGTGAGAAATGTGCCTTTCAACTCTCAAAATAGGCAAAGGGAAGTTAACGGCTGTCAACACCAGCTTCTGGGAAGTGGGACTGAAACTGGAGTCAGTGAACGTCTGCAGACTCCACAGCCTGGGGTCACCTTTGTCAGGATCAAAAGGTGTGTAAAACTTACTGCCTGTTCTCAGGCTGCCAGTATCCTGAAGTCTCTATTTCATTGCAAAAAAAGAATGTTGAAATTGTAGTTTAATCCAGCAAGGAGTGGAACCCCCAAACTTTTGGCAGACCCTCTCATAGAATTTGCATGCAAATAAACTATCCAGATGTATAAACTTGGAGTCCTCTTATCTCCGTTTGGTGCTGTCTAATCTATCATAAATAACTGATCAAAACTCTCTTTATTCTGCCTTTGTCTACACTCTCCAAGAATCCTCCAGTATGAGTGGGCACCTTGACCACCTGCCCAACTCCTGGGGTGCACCTGCCTCAGCAGTGCCAATGTGCTTCAAACAGTTTGGGTGAGCTACCCGTGTCAATACACTAACCATGTGCAATTACTGGAATCCTCCCCTCAATACCATGAATACTAGTATTTTTTCTGAACAGATATTGCTTAATTTATACATGTTAAATGCACGTATGTGTGATTACAGAGCACAGCTGCATAGTATCCCAACAATTAAAAAGTGTATGACCACCAGGGGGAAAGAACCACAATTTCAAACGGTTGGTATTCTTTTAAGAAATTCATATGAATAAGACCAACACCCCCAAGAAAAACAGGCAAAGAATACACATTAATTTACCAGAAACAAAACAAATGGCCAGTAAATATACAGAAATGTTCAACCTCACAATAAAGCACATATCCAATTTGTCAAATATTAAAATAGCACCAACAGGAAAAGAAATGATAACCGTGCTTCCGGGATAATGGAAATGTAACATGTTCCCTTTCTTAGACAGATAATAACAATTTCTTTTCTCACTAGCAATCTGGAAATATATGTTAAAAGCCGTAAATGTCCGACTCATGGTGTTGGTTCTTCTGGGTCATCATAACAAGTATCACATGCACGTTTATGGACAGTAATGCTCATCACAGAATCACTGAGGGTAGTGACAAAAGTCAGAAGCTGCCAGAATGCTGGGATGATGAAGTTTGTTTCACTGAGGTGAAGCTACACAGCCAAGAACAATCACGTTAAAAAAAAAAAACCTGTTTTCAAATAGTATTTAAAATACAGGTAAATGCCTCTATGAAGAGGCTAGTTATGAAATGAAGATGGCACACAGCACGAAAACTCACACTCCTGTGGACATGACCGAGGACCCAGTGTCAGTGTCTTGCCTGAAGGAAAACTAATTTGACAAAAAGGGCATATTCTTGGCCATTCATGTCACTCAGCACAGAATGTGGGGCTCAACATTGAAAATCTTTGATTTGCATTTATAAATATGTAAAATTACAAATTTTAATACACTGAGAAGAAAAAATAGTTAAAGGAAGTAGAAATGATTTGCTTGGGTCCCTTGAACCTACTGAAGATGAAACGTACAGTCTCACATCTCCACTCCTGGCTGCTGAGGAGCCCTGTGTCCTTCCCTTCGGAGCATGGACAGTAAGATTGTGGGTGATTTTTATTTTCTTTCATATACCTTTATTTTCAAAATTGTCTAAAGTGGACACACATTATTTTAAAAATAAAACAACCTTTGAAGACTTGAATTAAATCAAAATCACTATGTTCTTCAATAGGATGCAAAATCGATGAAGGTAAATTAGATAAATGTGACCATAAAAGGAGTCTGGACCATCCTGGGCTGTTCCAACTCAGTCTTGGCAACACTCCTTCCCAGTTTGGTGCCTGCACAGTCCAGCATGAGCTCACAGTGGCCCCACAGCAGGCTCCCTGCCCACACCTGCCCTTGGGTGTTCAGGAGCAAGGCCACCACGCTGTCAGAGGCACAGTGAATAATTCACAATTGACCCACCACCAGTGGAATGTGCTGCTATTTCCCTAGGTGGATTCTGTGTTCAAAGAGGACACATTTGGGCACAGCCAATGCAGCTGTTAAAATATGTTTTAAGAAAAAATAAATATTCTGCACAATGTATTTACAAGGATCGACTGTTTTATCCCCCATCCCAATTACTATAAAATGGGGAAGCTATAATTTGACAATTAAGAAGCATGTTCTAGAAGGCTTTCTGTGTCAGTTGAGCACAGATTATAGGGCTGAAAATCCAAAATCTTTTTAAAACCATATATATAAATACGCAAAACTGCAAATCCTAATATGCTCAGAAGAAAAGTTTTTACATAGATAAGTAGAAGTTACTGGTTCTGCCTGGGCCACTGAACTCCAAAAACGAAAGTACACAAGGACCAGGACACTTCTGGACAGCAGGACAGGTGGTTGAGGCAGCCTTCAGAACTTGAAGAGGTCGATGAAATGCTGCGGGGACACGGGTGTGAAGCAGCTATTGGGGTCAGCCGCGGTGCAGGGGTGTCCTGAGTCCTGCAGGGAGGAAGAGAGTTAGGGTTAGGGGCCTTGCCACCAACATAAGCCGCACTTCTGGGGACAGGTCCTTAACACTTTGCCAGGGCAGCCATACCAAGTGGAGGGGCAGGTGCCATGGAATTCCAAAGCTGAGTCTGGCGCCAAGATAGAAGAGACATCCCAGAACCCACACGGCCACAGGAGAAACCCCAGGGTCTTTCTTCCCCTGTTTGGCCATTCCTAGCTCACTTTACCCATTGTTCATCTCTGAATTGGCATGGACCCTCCTCACGCATCCCAGGAGGAGCCAGGTATGTTGCTCAAGTGAGCACAGGTTCCTCAGTGCTAGGCTCCTGCTTGGAAGGCAGGGTGCACTGACGATGCATCCATCAGGAATGACAGGGAGCTGGTGCACTCACATCCCCACAAATGCGGAAGTAAGAAAAGAAAAATAAGTTTTGTGGAAGAAAATTGGCAGAACACAGACAACAGGACCAGCGACCATGTGTGGTCAGCACTGGGTCTCTGCAGGTGGAGGCCCTGGCAATGTTGCCCCCAAGGAGGACCATGGGTGTTTCTATTGAATGAAGTGTTCATGGGCACGTCTGGAGTTCCCCACACCACCAAGACACTGGTCTGTAAGATATTTCCCTGGCAAGGGCCCTGTGGGGCAGCTGAGTCCCAGGACTTGGTTCAAGTCAGCAAGAGCTGGGAGGGAGCCAGGTGGTAGCAAGGACACTGAGCTTCAGACAACATGACAAACAGTACGTGGTAACATACAGAGGTACCTTGAATAGTAAGGCAAGATGATAGTCCTTTGAGATCATGAAGGAAGAATCAGGAAGGAATGCAGTAAAGGAAGGGGAAAAAGGGGAAAATTAAGATTAGAAAAGAGATTGCATTTAGGCATTTGGGTTTGATGCACGTTATCTATGACAATCACTGTAAACATCTGGTCACTAAATCTGAGCAGCAAAACGCTATCAGAAATGAGCACAGAAGGCCTGTGGGACACTGGGAATCCCATGCTACTCCAACACAGGCTAAAGACAATGTTGACAACTAATAAGGATGTAGTGCTAAATAACCTTCAAAATTATTCACTGACAAATATGTAAAGAAAGCTCATACTTCCATGTATAGTTTACACTGAAAAAATTACAGAGATTTTTCTGGGAAAGGCTCCTTCTTTCATGTCCTGAGGGTCTGCTCTGCTCTGCGCAAAGCACCTAGAGGCCGTGCAGCACAGGGGGCAGGATGCCCATGGAGGCTGTCCATGACCCCACGCAGCCTCTGCCCAGAGATCTAAGCATCTGGCTCCGGCTCTGCTCCCAGCAGCCACAGAGGCCTGAGGGGCGAATGTCATCAGGGTCTAGTCCTCGGGCGGGATATTCATGCACCGAGATGAAGCAAAGCCTGGGCGTGCCATGTCCTCACTCTGCTTCCTCGACCCCACTACCCCCAGGCCAGGGGCTCTTGGTCATGCCCGGATCTGAGGGCAGGGAAAGGTTTAAAGTCCCCACCCCATTTCTTTAGTAGCTTTGATGTGACTAGTTCCTCATCTACTGGGGTGCTAAAGCAAACAAGTAGAAGTCCTAGGTGTCCCCACGGTCTAACTGCCACTGCCCCGACAGCTATACTGGGAGGCAGAGCAGGTTATCTCGGCTCATCAGGAGTTAAATCAGGGGAAGATTTCTTTTCATGTTCTTTTGTGCACAGATTCAGAAATAAAAGCATGGACTGCGACCACTGTCTGCCGAGTGACTGACGTCTGGTGGGCGGAGGGGTTCGGGGGAGGGGGGACCACAGGCTCCAGGGCAGGGCAAGCAAGATCCAGCACTAAAACATCCTCACTAGGAGAAACTTGTTCTGAACTTCCATGACACTGTTCGCCTAATACAAGAATTGCAAGCAAATTCTTTTACGAAGCTAAAATCCATCTCGCAATTAAAAAAAAAAAA